CAAAACTGATTTCTTTAGTTTTTAGCTTGATCCCTTCTTAAGTGACAACTCAAAGCCTAAGCCAATTTATTTATAGTGTGTAAATTAGAAGATAAACCTCACTTTTGGTGCGATTTTACAAGCTTTGAACAAGTTAAAGCAGGTCATTGCACAGGAGTGGTTTGTGCTATGGGTCACTGAAAAATATCAGATTTTCAGTAAGCTAATAATATTGACCCCGCGTTTTTTTTTCCTTAATTAATTCTGAATAATGAATGATTTGTAAAGAAAACTAAACTAATATGTTTAAAAATTCAAGGTTCTACTGTTAAAAAATCCTTTTGTCCTTATTTTAACTGAACATATTCATCAATAAGTGTACAATGAAAATGATTTTTAGGTAATTCATAGTTTAGGGTCATATGTTAAATGGTTTAAAAAGTAAAAACAAATATATTAAAAATGTAAAAAATCCAATGATCCATGATATTTCCATTTCTGCACATATATGCCAGGGCTCTAGACTAACTTTTTGACATGGGCGCACCGGTACGCCTAACTTTAAAAATTTAGGCGTACCGGCACAAAAGTTAGGCGCACTCAAATTTTTCAACCGCATCGCTTAACACCGCAGTTTTACATGTGCACTTTCTTTGGGGGGGGGGGGGGGGGGGGGGGGGGAAGTCCATACAGACAATATTAATTTCTACATTATTAACTAACAAACTTGTGCTTAAAGTGCTTTGTCAATATTGTAGAAAATGTTAAAAACTTAATCATCATCTTGGCCTCCTCTGACGACCTGTTTGCTGCTGTCTGCTGCTGAAAGGCCGTGGGGAGAGGGGACACTTGGGCAGTGCATTTACTGCAGCATATTTCAGACAGATCAGGCCTTAACTTAACAAAAAAGTTATCAATAGTTCTTTTCATCTTTTCTTATTACCCACAGCTACAGTACATCCACTTCTCTCAGGCCTAGGCTGCTCACTAGGGCTGAGTATCATCACTGATTTCTATAATCCATTCAATTCCGGTTCTCAAAGTCCTGATTTGATTCAATTTAGCCTCAGACAGTCAGAAATATTATAATTCTGATCATTTATCAGTACTGATACACATGAGACTTCATCAGAATTGTGAAAATCACAGCAGATGCCTTTGTGTGAAAGTAACTGAGAATAAAACACAGGAAAACATGAAGGAGATTTTCCTGGTCTGGCTTTTTATAGCAGATAACCTTAAAAATATTCTGCAATTTTGCATAATTTTAAGAAATTTAAATTTCTTCAGTATTGAACAGCAGAAATTAGGCTTTCTTGTCCGAGGTCATTTAAGTGAAAAAAGAAAAAGCGCTGTAAACAACGCTAGACTGGTGGGTAATAAGCGAATGAATAATGCAGAAAACAGATTTGAGACGGGAAACTGTTCCTGAAGTACAGAGAGAGAGAGAGCTGTGCAGGAAGTGGGATTTTTATCGTGGTGGAAGAAAAACAGCAAAAGTCACAGGGAATTCATGACGACATTGATCAAATGTGAAGCGCAGTTTGCTGCTTCTTTTGCTGCAGGCTCGGTGAATTTTGGTTGGAGAGAGGCAAAACCTGCAGCGCAGAATCAGCGCAAAAAGACGTAAACACAGCGCGGACCCGAAGAATCGCTAAGCTCCGACAGCGTGTCCGTGTTCAGGCCGTCGGGTGAGAAAGCCGAGAAAGACGAAGCTGATTCTGATGTGTTGGGTCCGCTCCGTGTTTAGGTCTTTGTGTGGAATCCGTTAATGAATTGATATCGCTTTATTCAAGCTACTCACCTCTCTCTTCCACCTGCACTTTCAACTGGACCACGGCCAATCAGAGAGGTCCCGCCCCTGACTATCTCTGATTGGTTTAGTCCACGATAGGGGCATAATGTGTGTCTGTTGTTGACCACACGGAGAGTTACAGAGATTTTTTTTTTGTTACCGGAACAGTTGGTCGCACCTGTGCGACCAAATATTTATTTTTAGTCGCACCACTGAAAAATTTGGTCGCATTTGCGACCAAATTGGTCGCACTCTAGAGCCCTGTATGCTCTGGAAATTGAATCACAACTTCCAGGCAGAGGGATAAATTGTTAAAACAAACTTTCTCTTCACTTATCAAATCATTTGCTTAACACAAGCAGGTTGGAAACAGGCTGGAAAAGTAGTTCATGATGGTTCTTAAATGATATTTTATGCACTGACAGTGGGAAAAAGGTTTGTAACAATCTGTTGCCAGATTGGGAGGTTATTTAAATCTCTGGCCTAAAAGGATTGTCCTGGTAGATTTTGGCAATTAAAAACCGTGACGGTGATTAAAAAGAGAAGTGCCAGAAATCCCACCTACAGTTCTTCCTATTAGCTGTATTTTTCTTGATTTGATAGTGGGAAGTGCTTTTGTGGGTATGTGATTGGCACACACACACAAACACACACAAATATATATAAAACTGTTTGATGTATACAGGCCTGAAACAGAAAAACCGATAGCCAGAAAGAGATCTTTTAGTAGCCTGAATCTTCTCCAGCTTTAATTACACTATATTGATCAGAAGCAGGAGGAAGGAAAACGAAGGGGAGATCGAGTGAAGAGAGAGAGACAGTTGGTGAAACTGTCTCTCTGGCTACGGCTGTAGTTACTGTAAAGCTTGTAAAAAAAGGAGGGGGGCAGGGTGTTTGAGCAATTACTCCAAAGTCATACAGTAGATAATTAGAAAATTCCCCCTAACCCACCACAGTGTCTCTCTGCATACATCCATTTAGCTTAGCTGATACAATGAAACAGTGAGGGTGTCAAATTCATTTAAGTCACCAGCCAAAATGCATTGTTCACATCCATCTCGCAGCTTCATGCTTGGTTTGATTTGAAATTCTCAGCATTGATTTTTCGGTCCCTTGTGCCTTTGGTCTGTTTCTTTCTTGTAATCAGCTATAATAGAATGGTCATGCATGACACTCCTGGCTTCCCTGTACCAACTTTAGCTATATGTTAAAGATGCAAAGAGGACTGCTTCTGCAAAACTGCGCTTCTTCTCTCATTTTTAGGTTGACCTACTTTGGCAAAGAGCTTAGGTTCCTTCCTTTGTTTCTCGCACTGTTGTGGCAAGGGCAGAAAATCTGCAAACTCTCCTACTGTATTTTCCTCCACACCCACTCCTGCTTCTGATCCAGGCGGATGGTAGATGAGTCCAGCACAGTAAAATATGCCAGATTCAACCTCACTGCCCCAGCGAAAACTTTCCTGGCGCGTCTCACAGAACTGTATTCTGGGGGTTAAGGAGCTTATGTCTAGTATACAGCGCATGGAGAAAGGAGCTGAGCAGTGATTCGCCATGGGGGGGGGGGGGGGCGAGCAGAGTGAAGCCTCTCTGTGTAGAGTGTATCTCATTATGGCTGAACTGTGTGTTACCTTTGGTAAACAGTGGGGAATATTTCTTAGTCGAGCGTCACTCTAAAAGCAGCAGGCTGGTAAACGACCACGGCCCAACGGTGCCGCAATGCCATTGCTCAAATATACAGCCCCATAGCGATGTATGAGTTCGGTCATGATTAGTCAGATAGAATAAATAATCTGCTCTTATGACAGCCCTCTTCATTTCACCGTGTGTTAAATGGATGCCACGTCCAACTCTTTTGTGTTAGTAAATTCCCTCCAGTTATTTTTGCTGAATGACCTTCTCAATCACGAGAAAAGTCAAAAATTCAATTTCTGAGAGAAGCATTCATTATCATAGCCTTTGTGCTGAAGGGTACCTGCCCATTTACTGTGCATTAGAGCGATCCATAGTATATTTGTAGGCAATTTCAATAGCATATTAAGCAAATCAACAAATTAGAGAATCATAAGGCATTTGGCAATATAACGTGAATACTATCAGAGCCACACAAACATGCAATGCCACGAGTATGATGAGAATGACGCCATTTCTAAATTCCTATCAAGTGTTGATGCTCATATTCAGAACTTTTGATTTACTTTTCCCCAACAACTACACTGGCTCAAACAATTATTTGATGAGACTGAACAGGACACTGCTGATGTTTATATTTCTAGTCCTCTTTCCAAGTCTGTCTTGAGGCTGAGAAAAGCTGCAACACACGCACTGCTGTGTGCCAGCCCGACTTCAACACTTCCACATATTTCCTCGAATTGTTGTGACGTTCTGCACACTGTGCTTCTGTACAGCTGAGTCTCTCACATGTGAAGAGCAAAACATGAGTAATTAAATCTTCATTCCTCCACCCACACTACCGCATTCACGTCTGTTAAATTGAAAAACTACACGGTGTAAAACAGATCCACTTAAGTTGACGCCTCACTGACTCTTGTAGTATAGCGTCACGAAGCGGGGGAAGCTTTCGTTAACCTTTGCGCTAACACTACAGCGGAGTCTTGTTTTGATGTTATATGACCCTCCAGAGACTTTGTAAATCAAACACTAATTACAGCGTACAGTGACCTGATGGCTGAAACGTTACATCTGATGTGCTCCGTGGGCTAAAAGACAGCTGAGTGAATTCTTGTCTAAAGTAGAGTGCTTCAGCAAACTGTAAGCTGCTTGGTTAATTAAGACATGCTGACAACTGGTGAACTCTGCACAACATTATAGATCCACTGCCTAATTGGAAAGAATGGACAACAGTCAACACATTTTCTTCACTTCTTGGCAGCTGCACTGTAGTTGTAATAATGAATATAGAAAATATAGAAAAAAAATGAAACAGTCGATTCTAAAAGGATCCTTACAATGAATGAGTCAACTCATTGTTAGATTAACCTATATGGGCACCTTTTTTGTTACGCCCCTGCTGGCCGATAACTGATTCACTGCCAATTTATATGAAAATTTGAACTGACTCACTTATCAAAGTTAAGACAAACACTGGACCTAGCTTTTTTAAAGTCCCTTGCAGTCTGAGGCTCATGGGTTGGAACCCCCTTTTCGTTTTTGGTAATCCAGCCTTGAGTCCATCAAACAGTATTTGTACAGATTATTTTATGTCTTACCTGCCCTGAACTTTGATGTCAGAAATGGCATAGAAGTATCTGGACAGGTTGTTCTCGTCCACCATCGTTGCTCCTGTGGCAGGCCGGAGCAGGCGGATTCTCAGATCAGTAATGGTAAAGAAGTCCCTCAGCTTCTTGGTCGTGTCTAGCTGGCCGTAAAGTGAGGCCATGTTGTGGAGCCGGGGTCCAGCAAACAGTGCAAATCGGTCCTTGATCTCAAAGCGTACAGTTTTGTCGTTCTTCCACACGTACCCTCGTGAGTAGTCCTCGGTGCAGATAATGTCCAGCAGGGTATGCTGAGTTAGGTCTTGTACCGTCTTGGGCTCCATGGTGAAGGCGTCCAAGCAATCAGTGGCGTAGAACTGGTAGGGCTGCCAGGTTTTTCCATAATCTAGTGATTTTTCTAGGACCATCTGTTCGGGTCGGCCTGACTCAAAGGTGAGGACAATGTCTTCAGTCAGCTCAATGGTTTTGTTCCAAGATAGAGTGATGTTGACCAGTAGGGGTTTTGGGTACTTCTTCCAGGAGGTGGACTGCCAGAAGGTTGTGGGGTTGCGGCCCTCAGTGTCGAACATCAGCCCTGGGGGGTGGGCGAGCTCTTCAGTGGTGGCGTCACATTCATTGTTACACATGTAAGGGTTTTCCTACATAAGGGGAACAGAGGAAACAAAGAGCAGAAGAGAAAGCAATAAAAATGTTGCTCACAACAACAACTAACAAGAACAAATCAGGCCATTGTCAGAGTTGATTATTCAGAAAACTTTATATAATAGTTGAATTGTAAATGTCATGCAACACCAAGATATTTGGCGATTTTTGAAGACATGAGCTATTCATGAAAGGCAAGCAGGAAAAGAGTGAGGTTGTCTCAGTAGTGGGCATACAATTAGAAGCAGTCAAAGACACACTGATTTGTGTTGCACATTTATCATTTAAGAGTCTGCCAACAACCTATTGCCAGGTGGAACAAAGAGGTGGCCACTAAAATTTGATCACTTGGCAAACCAAATTGTGAAGCTTGTGTAAATAATTAGGTGCATCAAGTAACTACTATTTTTCTCACTGAACCCTTACTATGGCCATTGTTCCCACACAAATATTTAAACATTAAAAAAACACATCCCTTTAATGACATTATGGGCAAAAACAAAAACTATAGCAAGGATTCTAGACTATTTTCCTCAAATAAGGATTTAAGTCCCTGAAGCATGCTTATCAGGGGTTAAAGCAACCCGATATCATGCAAAGTGTATAACAGGCACGCTGGTCCACCGTGTCCATCACGCTATGCCTCTACAAAACGTGAAATGTCCCGCTTGCAGAAGTTGCAGTAAGGTGCAGTAACAGCAGAGGGAAATATTTTAATTCAAGCCAACACGAAAATAATCAAAGGAAAGCATTTAAACAGACATTACATGTATATATATGTATATATTAGGGGTGCAACGATATTCGTATCGATATTGAACCGTTCGATACAGTGCTTTCGGTTCGGTACGCATATGTATCGAACAATACAAAATTTGTAATTTATTTTATCAACTTTCCTTCTGACGATGCTGTCTGTGTTGAGCGCTCAGTGAATCTGCGTTCGACTACTCCGCCTAGGCTGCACTGTCGAGCGCAGATCCACTGAGCGCTCAACACAGACAGCATAGTCAGAAGGAAGAGCGCAGGGCAAGCTAGCGAGACAGAAGTTAAGCTCTCCTTGCAACATGGCAAATTGAACCTTCCCCACCCTCATTCAGATCTGGCGTTTGGAACTATTTTGGTTTTCATGTTACGTATGACCCTGAAGGTAAGCGTGTCATGGACAAAAGTAAAACAGTATGTTGGATGTGCCACGCAATGCTCAATTACATGGGTGGGAACTAGTGTGTTAGCGCAGTTAGATCGTTAATGTGTTGGCCGTCTAGCCCCATGCACGGGGCGATCAGGGGTAGCTCGTTAATGGAGATTTGCCGTGTTGTGGCGTTAAGGTCATTTCAACGAGATTAACCTGAAAGCACTAGTGGGAACACAACGAATATGACTGCACATTTACGCCGACATCATCCTAGTGCAAAGACAAGTGGAAGCAGACAAAAACGACAAGCATGCTACAAACTTTACCCGAGTCATTTAGACAGCCGTTAGCACATGATTCTCCTTATGGGGACCTGATATGTTTAATATGCTGCTGAGAATATAGCCCAGAAGAAGCGTATAGTATAGCTTTTATTTTGGAAAGAGACATTTCTCTGTAATAAACTCTCTTTTCCAAAGATGAGTGATTCCTCAATCAGATACAGGGCTCGCAATATCGCTAGCCCGACGTCCTGGGGATAGCGATTTTTCCAGTCGGGCTACCAAAATCTATCTCTGCCCTGCCCTTCGGGCTATTGTAGGAAGGAAAAATATATGTCAATGCTTTTGCATTCTTTCGGAAATGTAGCTGGGTAATTATGTCATTGGCATCGGTGAGCCACTGTCAATATGTGGCATATTGAAATCGTGTTTGAATTTGCGCTTGTTTTTTGCTTTCACTTTGCAATAGCGCGAACTGTGTATAGAGAGCGACAGCACTGATTGGTGAGTGATGATAATTTGCGCACCAATTCCTCTGACATCGTCTTATCAATCGTTAGCTTACTATGCAAACATGACAAGTGAAATCTCCCGCAGCAAGCTTAAACATGTAAGAGGATGCAGAGAATCGCTGAGCGTTATGTGAGTGCGTGTGTAAAAGCAGCAGGATATATATTTGACTACGATGACCTGGATGACTGAGAACCTTCACAGACAGATATATATTTTTGTTCTGCTGAGCCAAATAAGACGGGTCAGGGTGAAGAAGTGACAGCCAAAGAAAAGCTTACCACAAAACGGAGAAGTTATGACAAATCAGACTATAAGGCAAAAAGAAAGTGCAGCTTTATGGTTTCATGGACAAAAGAATTTCTGTGGCTGCAATATGACGAGCTAAATAACCAGGGCTGCACATAAGTGGTCCGCAGGTGCGCATTCGCTGTCAAAATAAAAAACACGCACAAGGGTTAGGGTTAAATTTAAAAACTGTACTTTTGAGTTAAAATATATATTTATAATTTTAATAAATGACAAATTAAAAAGGCATGAACATTTTTTTGTATCGAAAAAATATCGAACCGTGACACCAAAGTATCGAACCGAACCGTGAATTTTGTGTATCGTTGCACCCCTAGTATATATATATATATATATATATATATATATATATATATATATATATGCCTAGCCTGCCTAGCTTAATCGTTTCCAGCAATTAAGGACCCTGCAATGTATTTCATACATTTTCTGCACTTCAGCTTCTTGGCTTTAAATATATTATCTCCTTCTGCCGGTAATGCAACTTCTGCGTGGGTGTACATTTCAAATTTTGAATAGCCAAATGGACAAGTGACATGAACACGGTGGACTGGCGTGTCTATACACATCTGTACACAGTATGTTGTGATACTGGGTTGGTTAATGTGGACCAGAATTATCCAGAACAGCACCTTTGATTAATTGGTAACAAAATTTCATTAAGCTAGCTAACCTAGCTTAATACATAGTACTGTAAAGAGAGTTCATTTTTTGAGTGCTGCTGTCTGGCATTGTTTCCAGTTGATGTCATGGAGATACTTGCATAGTACTAAGTATGACAACCCATGCTTTTCTTTTGTTTTTGTTTTTTTTGTCACTATGATTTCATGATTTCATGTCAATAAAGTTGTACTTGTGGAACTTTGTCCTTTAGCTGAGGGCTTTGGCTAACACTAGATCAGCAAGCATATCTGAGAAACATTTAAATTGGCAGGTAACTATAAATTTTTCAAACAACTCAACAAATACTTCTAAACACCAAATGTTTCTGTGCAGTCTGGACCACAGTGTGTCTGCAAACACTGTATTTCCCAGGGAGAAAACAAAATAACAATGTGTGATCAGTTCAGTCTAAGAGATGGAGAAAGACGTCAGTAAGAGAGGACAGGAGAGGAAGAAGAGATTATTTTCAAAGATAAAAACAGCACAGTGACATTTGATAAGTCAGACAGCGTCTATGATGTTTTGCAGAAGTTATATTTTTTTACATTCTGAAAAAACTTGAAAGATAAATTGAAGGGTCCTTGAGTACTCCTTGATGGAGGCTAAATTAATTCGTTTTCAGTACTGTGTAAGGTTTACAATGCTGGGTTGGAGTGGTGCAGAGCAGGCTGTGGTGTTCATGGTCAATGTTATGTTATATTGAAAGCAGCAGACATTTAAGTTTGATCTGATTGGGCTGCTTATATATGTCAGTTAATTCAATTAAATCTACAAGAAGCAGGAGACTTTAGAGCAGCAGCATCCAAGGTCAGCTGATCACAGCCTGTATGCAAAGAAAACAAATCTACTTGGAGTTCACTATGCAAATTTGCATTTTTATTCCCTATGTGATTCTTTTCCCTGTGCTGCACCACCACATGGCTATAGCAGATCTTAGGATTCTCCCTGGCAAATGCCACTTTAACCCCTGCTTATATATGGCAGCCATGCCTGGATAAGCTAATGATAAGCTGGGCCATGAAAAATTATTCTTCAGTCTGTAGTGATATGTGGGGAAAATGATCTTGTTCTGTTTTTAACATATAAGAGTTTATGTAAAGATAACAAAATTATATGATAAAAGAAATATCTCCTAAAAAGTGACTTTCTTTTCAGTTTCCTTTGGCCTTCATATTTGTCTGACTTTATTTTTCATTTTCTTTAAAAGATTCATTAAAATCTTGTGGGCAGTTGAATCACTTTTATCAACTTCATTCAAAAAAAAAATAATTATGCACACATAACATATAATTTTCACATCAGAAATTTCTCTTGAGGTTTCCAGAGTTTCTTCACATTCTTTAAATTCATCAAGCTCCTTGCTTGAAAGAGGTCTCTCCAAAAACATTTGTCCGATTTACCACAAATCATTACCAGGCAATGTTCTCTCTCCTTGCTCCCTGGGGGCTCGATCTAGCTGTCAGGGGGAGGAGGCACTCTTCCAAGAGGACCTTTCAAGTGTTACAAGCTCCAATTTATCAGGACAAGATAATCCACTACTTGATTAGGTGGGAGATGTCACCCTGTGTGTGTGAGTGCGTGTGGAAGTGAGTGTGGCGATGTGGTGAGGAAACAGGGACAGGAGCGGGTCTCTGATGTAAGACAGTCTAATGAAGCGGCGAGGCAGAGATCGAGTAAGTTAGAGTGAGAAACAGCTCTATTCACCTAATAAGCTTTGCAAGTTTTTCCTCGTCCTCCAAGGCAAGGTGACAATGAAACAGGGCTCTGTCAGGCCTTCTGACTTTTGGAGGGACCCATTAATATCCTGTCTGGGCTATCCCCTACAGGCTTCTCCCAGTACTGGACAGCGGTGACAGAGGAAGGCAGGCTGGCAGTGGAAAATTCCACTTGGGTTTTATTATACCGACTTAATGGCGGAAGGTTAGGTGTGGCATTAACTGCAGCATCTGGTGCACCGTGCAGCCACAGACAGATGTGTAATAAGTCACATGTGACAGTTATGCATGATTAGGGGGTGGGGGAAGTCTCTAAAAACATACTTGGCATGCAGAATAGTTGTGTTTCTATGGCTTGTTGGGAATGTGTATTTATTAAG